GGAAGGAAGGAAGGAAGGAAGGAAGGAAGGAAGGAAGGAAGGAAGGAAGGACAAAGGGAGGAAGGGACGGAGGAAGGGAAGGGCGGAGGGATAGAAAGATAGAGAGAGCAATGGAGGGGTGGAGGAGGGGATGAAGGGAGGAAGGGAAAGATGAATGGCTATTCTTTTCCTCCCATTAGGGGTAGGATATGACAGTGGGGATGGAACCTGGGCTGGATCCTGTCCTGCAGCACAGCACCCTGCACTCGGTGCCCTGAGCTCCACAAGCACCTGCACCCAGGAGCTGCACATCTCCACTTAGGGAAATTGGCTGCTATTTAAATTAACGGCAAGTGAGCGAATTGACTATTAACGAGGTGCAAATACCGCTGCGAACCCAGGGATTTCATTTAATGACTTGGAAACAAGTTCTTGACCTACTTCCAACTTGCAAAATCTTTTGCAAAATTGCAGGCGGCACAGATGAAAATGAATTAAAGGAGCCATCACCACGCTCCCACACAAGGGCAGGGCTGAGCTGCCCCGCGGGCAGGATGTGCCCCAGGATGGAGGCACAGGCTTTGTTACCCCAGCAAAGCACTCACTGGGGTTTTTCTGCCCTCAAATCCCTTCACTTCCAGCTTGGAAAACCCAATGGGATGAAAATACGAGGACACAGGGAGGGGTGTGGGGTCCCCCCAGGGCTCTCCATCACCCGCTGAGCCCCCGCGTCCTTTGGCCAGCCTTTGCTGCTGTCTTTTGCCGATTCTTTTTCTGCTCTGTTATTTATTTAATTTCGCCAGGCGCCGCATCCCGCTGCGTTGCCATGGGAACATGGCAGCAGCCCCAGCTGTCTAGACGCTGAGCCCCAGCAGCCCGGCGTGTGGGCAGGACGCAACCCAAGCACCCATGGGTGCGCCCACCCAAGAATCAGCCCCATCCCAGTGCAATTCCCAGCCCCCTGATCCCCTCCCAAAGCCACCCATGCGTCAACAGCCTGGGGTCCCCCTGCTTCCTTCCCAAATCTGCCTCTGTGTCCAACAGCCCTGGGACCCCCAGACCCTTCCCAAAGCTGCCCCTGGGGAAGGAAAACTGAGGCAGAGAATAGGAGGTGCCCAGTAGGAGGATGAGCACCTCATGCTGAATACCCCAAATCTGGGTCCCCAAATGGACACGGTTCCTTGGGGTGAGCCAAGATGGGACCAATGGGGAATCCTTCTACAACCTAAACAGTGGGTTACTGTGGGTCCCAAACAGCCCCATCCCACCCATGATGATTTGTTGGAACTCTTCTGGAACCCTCCAAACAGCCGAGGGTGGCAGCCACCTCCTACAGAGGCTCCAAATGCATCTCAATACCATTTATACAGAGTACAGGCTGGAGATATGATATTGCATCTATTATTTTTACTGTTACATAAATGCTGAACCGGAGCGATAAGGCTGAGATAAGGCTGTGGGCTTTTTTTACCACCGCTGACAGAAAGACAAGGAAAGCAAAGTGATTCATTCCTATATTTTCCCATCATAAGTTGCCTCTGAATTTACACCTTCCTGCAGAGAGACTCCCTCCAACAGGCACAGACTGTGTTGCTTTAATTGTCGCCCCAAAATGGCCTTGAAAAGGTCCTCCACTGGGAAGGGCACAGGGATGGCAATGGATCCTGGGGAGGAACAGCACAGGGATGTGAGCAAAGGGCCAGTCCTGCACTGGTGCTGCTGTGCCTCAATTTACCCCCCTGGGAAATGGGTTCAGCCCTTCCCTGCTCAGCACTGCACCCAGGAGCGTTTGCAGAGAAGCAGGGTGACAAATGACATTCCCAGAGCTACAGCACAACCCAAGTGCAGAGCTGGGTCACACTGCCACAGATAGCCACAGACATAAAAGTCAGGCTGCAAGTTTAAGCAAATCCATCTGGAAATAGAGGTGAGAACTGAAGGGGCTGCACAGACCCTCATGGTATCCAACCTGGAATCTGGGATGGAGCGTGAACGGAGGGAGCCTGCTGTCCATCCATCCCACTTCATCCCATCCCATCCCATCCCATCCCATCCCATCCCATCCCATCCCATCCCATCCCATCCCATCCCATCTCTCCATCCTATTTCATCCATCTCATCCCCTCCCACCAAACTGCTGTCCCAGCCCCACAGAAGGACTCAGGAGATGTCCCCAGGATGCTGTCGCACGCCCACAGGACACGTAGCAGTGACACCAGACCCATGGCATCAGCACCAAGCTGTGATGCTCAAGGATCAGGGCACTGAAATGTTGTCAAATGCCTTACTGCAAACACCAGTTTCCAACAAACAGGCTTTTGGATAAATAAAATTGTGATTAATCAAGCGCCTCAATTAGACACAATGAGCCACAGCTCGTGATTAAGCTGAAGACTCGCAGCAGAAAGCACATTAGCAGCATGGACACTCAGAAGCTGAGAATTAATTAAAATGAAGCAAAAAAGAAACACTAAAAAAAAAATCCCACTAAACAGGGAAATGCACAGAGGCTTTTTCCATTTAGTGGGGACTCTGGGGATGCTGAGAGGAGCCACGTCCCGCATCCCAAACCAACGCGGTGGTGTTGGGTGACAGTGGGACAGGGACACCTCTGCCCATGCAGTGCGAGCTGTCTGCTGGCTCCAGCTCCCCATAAGCGGCCCCGTTTGGACAGGGATTAAGCCACAGGCAATTTCAATGCTAATTCTCCTGTTTAAGTTCTTTAGTCCAACATCTGCAAGAAGCAAGAGGTAATTTCCCCTGGATCTCAAACAGCGACTCAAAGGCGCTGTTAATAAAATGCGATAGAGGGGCAAAAAGAGAGAGGGGAAAAAAATCCAATTTACTGACTTATTTAGTGACACCTTTTGTAATCAATTCTCCCAGGAAATAAATACTGATTAAAGCCAACCGTATTGCTATGGAAACCGGCAGTCCCTCCTCTCACGACCTGCAGGCAGCAGAGAGGATCGGGTGAGGAATCTGCCTGGTAACAGCCGCGCTAATGAAGCAGGAGCAGAAACATCCCAGAGCAGCACTGCCTCCAAAGGAGCAGCCACGGGTGGCTCTGGGGAGGTGAGGCTCCCAAATATTTGGTGTAAGGGCAAGGCAGGGCAGCTACAAAGAGAAGGGATGTGCCCGCATCCCATCCCAACCTTATCACATCTATTTCATCCCACCCCCCCCCACCCCAACCTTATCATATCCATCTCATCCCATCCCATCCCATCCCATCCCATCCCAACCTTATCATATCCATCCCATCCCATCCCTTTCCTTAGCCAATTTTTAGCATTAAAACACACACGCATCCAGCATCACTCAAAGCACCACTGAGAGTCCTGATGCACCCTGAAACAGAAACCTGACCAAAAACACCACTCCTTCCATTGGGGTGAAGGCCCACCGCTCATCCACCAACCCCTCCTCTAACATCCAACCTTTAGGATCTCCTTCTCCCACCTGCTTGGTGCCACCACCTCGACCACTCACCCTCTTTTCTCAAGGCCCTAATTTGAGCCTCTTACACGGGGCAGTGGTGGTGGTTACGTGTTTCATATGCAGGTATGAATAGTGAGTTATTGTCAGCAGGAGATGGATGGGCCCGGCAGGGAGCGGTGTTCCCATCAATCTTTCCCTGTGATGAATGTAAAGCAGCAATGAGTGGGAAGCAGCAATGCAAGGTCCAGAAACTGCAGTGGGTTTTCGGGGTGCTCTAAGAGCGACAGGCTGGGTGGGACCTCATTAGTGCTGCTCATTATTTATTAATAGTAAAGAAAACCCAGCAGCTCCAGCCCCATCTCCCCTTGCCAACAGGATTATTGGCTAGAAATGAGGGCTGGAAACTCACAGGCACACGGGTATGGATGTGCAGCCCTAATAGAACTGGAAGCCTTCATATTTGCAGCAATTGCTGCACGTTAGCAAAATAACAATCACTGTTAAGCACGCTGCCACCTTCCCCATTCATCACGGCGAGGATTTAATAAGGCGCCTTCGCCGTGCGCTGTGACCAGCAGCACATTATTAAACACAGCGATTAGCAGCTGCGGTGGATGGGAGCTCATTAGAGACTTCTTAAACATCCATAAAAATCGCTTTCATTAAGCGGCGATTCCTCTCTTCATGCCCATCGAATCAGGCTGGCACGACACTGACCGACCCACACCCCAAGCCCTGCAGGGGCACCAACGGGACGTGGGCATCTCCTCTGCTCTGGGGTCAGTCCCACCCTGAGAGATCGCAGAGGAATGGAGTTTTTCCCAGCAAAACAGTTTATTTCCCCAAAAACCGCATGGGAACTCCTGCACACAGTGTGTGTGCTTCTGCCCCAAGCTCTTTTTGGTGCATCTGCAGGAGGTACTGATTTCTGCACATAATTTTAGGGGAAGACTGATGCAGACGGTGTGGCCATATGACTGATGTCTCCACCACCTGCTGGGGTTCCCGTATGGGTTCCCACTGATGGGCAACAGGGCCGTCCCCACAGCAGCCAGCAGCACCCTGTTCCTCCTCCTTGGGTCCCACTAATGACAGCAGTGCTAATTGTGGGGTAGGTAGGGCTGTGTTGCCTTTGTCTGGGCCACAATTTAGCAAAAGCACAGTGCTTTGTTCAGGGCCTCAATTTAGGAAAGGGAAAGTGGAAAGAGGATGGGAAAGTGGGAAGGGAAGGGAAGGG